CCTCCCATCCCACTTCCCTTGCTCTGTCCAATCTTTCTTCATTGCACTTATCATCAATTAGGAATAGAATATATGTCTTTGTTATTTGCTTTGTTGTGTATACATCTCTCTGTAAAAAGTAAGCTCCACAAAACTAGTATTATTATTATTATTTGTACCACCAGCACCTGGAACAGTTCCTGGTATGTAGCATGTGCTCAGTAAATATTAGTAAAACAAGCGACAACCATTATTTTGTGAAAGAAAAAAGAAGTTCAGCAGGGTTGAGCTACTTGCTCAAAGACACACAGCTATAAAGGCCAGAGTCAGGACTCAAGCTCAGATTGCCTCACTCCAGAGCCTGTTACTACAGCCACCATTCCACCTGACTATGTTTCATCCATGACCATGTTCTTCTCATCAAGACAAGTGCATGGGACATAACCAATACCAGTCACTGTCGGATCAATTCTGCCTCATGGTGATTTCACATGTGTCAGAGTAGAACTGTCCTCTAAAGGGTTTTCAATGGTTGAGTTCTCAGAAGTAGATTGCCAGGGCTTTCAAACTTCTAAACTTCTGTTACCAGTTGAGCACATTAACTCCACAAGGAATTAAAGTCACCATCCAGGAACTCCATAAGGAACACAGTTGGTGCTTTAAAAATGTTTGGTGAATGAAAAAAAAAAAATCTTTTTCCCTATTTTTAGACCTCTAGGGTTTGGGTAACTAACTTTTGGCACATACCAAGTACTCACTAAATGTTTGGTGCATGACTGCATGACTAAATGGAGCTTGCAGCAGGAAGGAAGGGTAGGTAGCCCTCCACTCTGCTCTGGACTCCTCTACTATGTTGTTGTTGTTGTTATTTGCTGTCAAGTCAGACCTGACTCATAGAGACCCCTCCTTGGGTTTCTGAGGCAGTATCACTATGGAAGTAGATTGGCCAACCTTCCTTCTGAGAGAGTGGGTGGTGGGTTTGAACTGCCAGCCTTCTGGTTAGCAGTCAAGTGCCTTAGGTACTATGCTACCAGAGCAAAGACATTACCAAGAAGTACTGTACTTAGTTAAGAGCACCTGCTACCCTTCTCTCTCCAGGCTGCCCTCCTGTCTCACAATGGAGATTGTCCTTCCAAGGGAGCCAGATGTAGGTTCAAACCTCACCTATGCCACTTATCTTCTGTGACCTCACCTGTGTCACTTATCTTTTAGGGAAAGCCACTTAAGTGGTCTGAACCTCAAGTTTTGTTGTTGTTAGGTGTTATTGAGTCAGGTCTGTCTCATGAAGACCTTATGTTTAACTGAATGAAATGTTGCCAATAAGTGCGGTACTTAGTTCAGGACCATGGACAGAGCGCCAGCTACTTCCCTGTGTCATCTTCAAGATCCTCGGTATGTTTGAGTGGATTATTGTGGTTATTGTGTTAATCTATCTCATTGAGGGTTTCTCTCATTTTTGATGACTCTCTACTTCACCCTATGTACAGCTTCAAGCTTATTCATTGTAAAATGGTGATAATTCCTCCTCCTAGGACTGTGGTGAGAAATCACTAAAATGTGCACTTAGAAGGCTTGACCCAGCACTTGGCACCGACTAGTTGCCCTCAGCATAGCCAGGATTATTGCTCTGTGGCTGAGGCACTGAGGAGACAGAGGACTCTGTCCCTGGTTGGGGGCACCGGCCATCTGTCCTCCCCAAGTGGCTGTCCATTTGCTGCTTCTCTGCTCCCTTCCTTGCCTTATTAAGCCGACTGATGGCTCTGTTTGGCTTCAATTTGCTGGCCACGACTCCCTATCCATCTTTCTCAGCATAAATTGAGGCTTAATTCCTCTCTGATTTCACACATAGATAAAAATTAACATGCTAGAGGCACAGAGACCAACTGCCCTATGATCTCTTTTTTTCCCCTCATTGTACAAAAGAGGAAACCTCTAAAGGGCCTTGGGGGGGGGATACTTCAACAATTACATCTTACACTTTATCATCTGCTCTCATTTGCATTTTGAATTCCACTTGATTTTGAACTTTTGGAGGGCAGTAATTATGTTATGTATTATTCCCAGCATTCTCCTTGTACATGATTCACAACTTGTCATGTAGTAGGAGCTCAGTTCTTCTTTCTAGAGGGAGTCAGAGGGGGTAACCAGACTGCCTTCAACAATTCCTATCTGATGGGCAATGACTGCATCTCTGTGACCTCAGTTTCCTCCTCTGTAAAATTGAGATAAATGGTCCACCCTACATAAGATTGTAAGGAGCTCTGGTGGTGCAGTGGGTAAGGCATTTAGCTGCTAACCAGAACGTTGGTGGTTAAAACCTACCAGCTTCTCCATGGGAAGAAGATGAAGCAATCTACTTCTGTAAAGATTTACAGCCTTGGAAACCTATGGGTGTTGCTATGAGTTGGAATGAACTTGATGGAAATGGGTGGATATAGGATTATTGAGAGGACTAATTGCATAGTGCCTAAGGCATTTGACTTCTAACCAGAAGGCAGGTGATTCAAACCCACCAGCCACTCCTCGGAAGGAAGACTGGACAATCTACTTCTCTAGAGATACTGCCCTGGAAACCCAAGGAGGGGTTGCTGTGAGTTGGAAATGACTTAACGGCAGTGAGGTTTTTTTTTTTTTTTTTTTTTTAGTTTTATGCCCTAGCATGGGGATCAGCATATACTAACTTAGCTAAAACATGGCAGCAGTCACACTAAAAGCACAAGCAACAAAAGAAAAAAATAAACTGGACTTCATCAGAATTAAAAAAAAAAAACTTTTGTGCCTCAAAGAACACCAGTAAGAAAATGAAAAATAAAACACAGAATGGGAGAAAATACTTACAAAAATATACCTGATAAGGGTCTAGTATCCAGAATATATAAAGAGCTCTCACAAGTCAACAACAAAGAAGACAAACAAGAAGAAATGTCTATTCAAGTTCTTTGCCCATCTTTCAGTTGGGTTGATCTCTTTTTTCCCCCTCATTGTACAAAAGAGGAAACCTCTAAAGGGCCTTGGGACATTTCTTCAAAGGAGATATTCAAATGGCCAAAAAGCACATGAAAAGAAGCTTAACACCATTAGTCATTATGCATTACCCCAATGAAATATTACTTCACATCCACTAGGATGGTTATAACAATAAAAACAAAGTAAGTGAGGAGGATATGGAGACATTGGTACCCTCATATATTGCTGAAGGGCATGTAAAATGGTACAGCCACCACAGAGAACAGTTTAGCATTTCCTCAGTAAGTTAAACCTGTTGTTGTTGTTGTTGTTATGTGCCGTTGAGTTGGCCCCGACTCATAGCGACCCCTCCTTGGGTTTCCGAGGCAGTATCACTATGGAAGTAGGATTGCCCAACCTTCCTTCCGAGGAGTGGCTGGTGGGTTTGAACCTTCTGGTTAGCAGTCAAGTGCTTTAGCCACTATGCTACCAGAGCTCCCAAGTTAAACCTAGAGTAACCATATTATTGTTGTTAGGTGCTCTGAGTCAGTTCCAACTCATAGCAATCCTACGTACAACAGAATGAAACACTGCACCGTCCTTACAACCATTGCTGTGCGTGAGCCCATCATCGCAGCCACTGTGCCAGTTCATCTTATTCACAGCCACTGTGTCAGTCCATCTCATTCAGGGTCTTCCCCTTTTTCACTGACCCTCCACTTTACCCAGCATGATGTCCTTTTCCAGGGACTGGTCCTTTCTGACAACATGACCAAAGAAAGTATGAGAGACAAAGTCTCACCATCTTTGCATCTAAGGAGCATTCTGTCTGTACTTCTTCCAAGACAGATTTGTTCGTTCTTCTGGCAGTCCATGATATATTTAATATTCTTCACCAACACCACAATTCAATTCTTCTTGGGTCTTCTTTATTAATTGTCCAGCTTTCACATGCACATGAGATGACTGAAAATACTGTGGCTTGGGTAAGGAGGAACACCTTAGTCCTCAAAGTGGCATCTTTGCTCTTCAACATTTTGAAGTGGTTTTTTGCAGCAGAAATCTTACCATATGACCTATCAATTCCACTCTGAGCACATAAAAAAAATAACCGAAAACAGATGTTCCAATGAAATCTTGTACACAAATATTCATAGCAGCACTACTCACTATAGCCAAAAGGTAAAAACAACCCCAAATGTCCATCAGTTGAGGAACGGACAAACAAAAGATTGTAAAGCCATGCAATGCGTGTTAGTTAGCCATAAAATACGGCAGCATAGATGAACCTTGAAAGCATAATGCTGAGTGAAAGAAGCCAGACACAAAAGGCCACATGTTATATGATTTCATTTTAATGAAATATCCAGAATAGGCAAATCTACAGACAGAAAGCAGACTAGTGGCTGTCAGGGGTTAGGGGGATGGGAGAAATGAGACATGAGTGTTCAGTGCGTACAGGGTTTCTTTTTGGGGGGATTAAGATGTTCTGGAACTAGATAGTGGCGATGTCTGCATAACACTGTGACTATCCTAAATGTCACTAATAGTACATTTTACATTATATGTATTTTATTGCAATAAAAAGAAAAATAAAAAATGGCAGTACCTAAAAGTACCATGGACTGCCAGAAGAATGAACAAATCTGTCCTGGAAGAAGTGCAGCTGGAATGCTCCTTGGAAGCAAGAATGGCCAGACTTCATCTCACCTACTTTGGTCAGGTTGTCAGAAGGGACTCCAGGTTGTCCCTGGAGAAGGATATCATGCTTGGTACAGTGGAGGGTCAGGAAAAAAGGGGAAGACCCTCAATGAGATGGATTGACACAGTGGCTGGAATGATGGGCTCAGGTATAGCAAGGACTGTGAGGCTGGCACAGGACTAGTCAGTGTTTCATTCTCTGTACATAGGGTCGCTAAGAGTTGGAGGCAACTTGATGGCACCTAACAACAATAATCATAACTACTTGTGTTCAGAGAAGTTTCTTCCCCTGGACTGCATCTGTCTTGAGGCCATGGGGTTTGGTCTCCCTGCTCTAGTTTGCCCATTATGTTGGGCCAAGTTGCAGAGCATACCTGAGCAGATGGGTTCTGGGCTGCTCCAGTGGGGCTTAGAGGCATTGGTGCACGTCAGTGTCTTGACACCCTGGAGCTCATAGCCCAGGTGGCAGTGGAAGTGGGCCACCCCACCTGAGTGCAGGTCCATCACGGTGACATCCCCAAAGTCAGGTCGGCGGGGAAAGTTGCAGCTCAGCATGAAGGCTAGAGGAAATGCAAAGCAGACAAGTCATCTCTCAGCAGGGAGGTAAAGAACATGACCCACATCCCGGGAGCCAATTTGTGCTGTGGAGAAAAGATGAGGCCCCTGGGGATTCCGGAACACCAGAGGAGGGTATTTTTGTGACTCTCACTGATCAGATGGCACTGAAAGCATCCAGTTA